CAGTGATGGTATTTACACCTGCAACGTAACCAATAGTTTGGGCAGTGATGCGGAAAGTGTTATCCTTTGTAAGTTTGAATAGAATCCTAAGCAGTCTCCGTTTTTTATTAGCTGCTTTTTATTCATAAATTGTTTCAGTGATTTCAGCCCAACCATATTTCTGAGGCCACTTTATTATGGGTTACCTACACTATACAATTTTTAAAATGCACTGTACAATTACGGTCGAACCTGTATTAAGCGGTCAATCATAGGGAATGGTGGGGTGACCGCTAAATACAGGTTGACCGCCTTAAACAGGTTGGCCAGCAAATGACTTGCGTGATGTTCGTGCGAAAACTTGTCCTAACAGCCCAAAGAAGAAAGATAATATGCAATACTTTATGACATTTAAACTCATAGTACCAAGATTTATTTTGGGAGATAAACATCGAATTAATTTTACTGGGAGATTATTCTTATTATTTTTTCGGAAACCGAACGGATGTGGAAAACTCAACTGAACACTGTACAGATCAAAGCAAGGTTGAAAATTTTGTAAAAGGCTTTTTCTTTACCATCATGTTTGTAGCCATAGCAGCAAAAACAGTAAATATATCCCTACGCATCACAAGTGAAAAGTGCACCGACGGAAAATATGATACAAGCTCAATGAAGGAAAAGCTCAGTGGCTTGGTAATTAACTTCTTTGACAGCTTTTTTATGTCGTTGTTTTTTCTCTTATGGTTGTGCTGTGATGTGAGACTGTTTTCTCAAATTGCAGATAGACATTATCTTTAAAGCACAGGATCTTGACTACAACAGCGCAGAAGTCACGGGCTACAGGTATTTATTACCTGCTCGTATCGTTGTAAACGTATTTTACAGTTCGTGTTATCATTGTTGGTGGCTTCTGTGGAGGCCCGTTCTTTCTAAAATTGATTGATTTATTTTGCAACAAGTAAAGTTATAAATCAATTAATCTTGAATATATGAAAGTCATGTATGTGTTCTGCGATTTTATGAAATGTATGAGAGCGATCTTCGTAGTAATAAACCCTGCATATGTAGCAGTGGAAATAAGTCCTGAAAAAAACTCAGGCTCGTACGGGATTTGAACCTATGACCTTTGCGGTACCATTGCAGTACTCTACCAACTGAGCTGACAAGCCAACTGGGAGCTGGTCATTAAGTAAAGTTAAATTTGCAGTTAAAAAAATATTTTACTTTTCAATTTCTATTTTTCATATTTCCCTGCCTTTTAATCTGTGGCGAAGATTTTTTAATCATCCAACGCAAAATTCTTTTAGTGTTAGTTTTTTGGTACGTGTTGCGCTTTTTTTTTATTTATTTCTTTTCTTTTCTGTTTTTTTTTTTTTCGATGACGCTTCGATTTATTCTTTAATGAACCCTCGAATTCTTTTAATTTCATGATGCTTTGCGCCCTTCTCATCTCGGGAGGCGTAGTGGACTGTCGCCATGTTTGATGTGCAAGTGATGTGTCATCTTTAGTGTGCAAGGTGCACACTAAAGATGACGAAGTGCGCGAATTCTTGATGTTATTTTGAAATCCCATTCAGATATATTGAAAGATGAAGGAGTGATTAGGGATACAGCTTTTTCTGCAGAACCTGAAGGGAGTCATATATCTTTTTATTGCCCCGTAAAATATGGAGTGGACCTAAAAGAACATCATGTGCAAGTTCAAAGTGAAATTTGACTCTGGAACAGAAATAACTTTGGAGGTGACCACACTTTACACAGGAGAAAATAGCTCAGTTGCTTGAAGTAAGTTTGCAATAGTCAAGAGAAGGTGTAGGAAATTGGAAATCAGTGATAATCTCCAACAATATTCAACAGTGCATTGTGACATCTGATAATGCAAAAGAAATCGATCAATTTTGAACAGAATGGGCCTCCATAGGCGTCGGAGGGTTCTCGTCGCGGAGAACTCCGGACAACCTGCTAAAGATGGCCCAGCGAAAAATTCCAACTGAAGATATCCGGTCGTTACAAAAATGGAGTGTTTTTCTAGGAGTTCCACTTTTTTCTTCGGAAGGAAGGTGCAGACTGTGTACTTTGCCGGCAACGTTTTTTAAATATATGAAAATCATATGTTTGAACTGCGGTTAAAGAAATGAATGAGAGCGATCTTAGCAAGTAATGAACACCACTTAAGCTGAACTTCTTTGCATTACTGCTTATATTAATTTATGTTCATTACTGTAAAGACTGCTCTCATTAATTTCTTTAACCTTAGTTTAAATAGATGATTTTCATGTATTCACAAAACGTCGACTCATCACTTCACGGGTTTATTACGAACCAAGATAATGACCAGCTCCCAGTTGGCTTGTTAGCTCAGTTGGTAGAGCACTGCACCGGTGTTGCAGAGGTCATGAGTTCGAATCAGGCCTTCTTTGCATTACAGCTTAAGCAGCATTCATAACTGCGAAGATCTCTCTCGTTCATTTGACCAGTGACTATTGATACATGTATCTGCTTTTGCGTTACATTATTATTGAAATCCCATTCGCGAAAATGGTCGAAAAGCAAAGCTCTGTGTATGAGCACGAAGACTCGAGAGTGAAATATTTGTAGAGGAGAATTGGATTCTAACTTTTACAAGCTCTCGTCAATTCTGCTACAGATTTCTCGTCCAAATCACTATCATTCCCATTCATATAACTTCTTACAAGGCCACGCAACTGATTACGTATTTCTGTCACCGGTATCCCTCGTACACATTTTTAGGATATGGACATCAATCGCTTGATGTTTTACGGTATTCCTCCAAGATATAGTTGCGCCGCAATTGTACGATGAATCTCGCTGAAATACAACCTAATACGTCTCCTTTTCTTCTTGTGGTTAAATATTACTAAGAAAACGGTGTAGTAAATTGTGCGACAATTCACTGGTCCCTGTGAACTTTACTTCGTTAAGAGGAAATATCGTGTTTGCATTAGAACTAGATAATGTATGAAGTGATTTCCTCCTTGTATGTATTTATATTTCGAAATAATTTTCCTTTCATCAACGAGTGTTATGTTCACCTTTTTTACTGAAAAATGCTCCAGGGAAAAAAAAGCAAAGGTCATTTTACACCTCTGCTTCCAATTAACTGCTACCGCTTCGCAGCAAACGTTACCGTTCTACTATTTCCTTAGGGGACTCTGTGGAGAAGTTCGACTGTACGTGTGCATGTACTTGAGTTACTTGCGTCAAAAGTGGTTGATCAGTTGGTGTCAGTTTTGTTTCGTCAAGCTAGTGGTTTCTTTTACGTGAAGCTTTTTCAACCCCTACCTATTTGCGTAAGCAGCTTACATGTCCTTCTTCTAAAAATTCTCTTTAAATAATTCCCTTATCCGAACGACAACCTCATATTTAACTATTTGCACATCCAACCTGTTAATGTTTCCCGTTGATCTTCCAAGGTGCGGCAGTGTAACTGTTTACATGGCATTGAAGTTTAACTCCATTACCAAAGAAAAAGATGTGATTGCAAGAATTCGCACTGCTGTAGAGAATGGGACTACAGGAGGTTTTACATTTAATGTCTCATCAATAACTGGGACAAGAATTCCTCCCGAAAAAGCCACAACAGTGCCAACCTCGCCTACCGGCTCACCTGGAGGTACTATTCCAGTCTTTTTTAACTATTAATCACAGTTATTTCTGTCGAATACTTAACGTGCTTATGCCTCTGCTAAGGGTTGGCATAATGAAGGGAACCCACGCAAACTGTGTAATCGTTTGTTCCTTTATATTGAGAGGAAATATTTGGGAATGTCGAGAATCTTCATATGAGCTTCGATAAATATTCTCAGTGTACAGCTCATTTAACATATTTGTTCGTGTTATGTTGTAAGCATTGACTTTTCTGTGGCTGAAGACGGCGAAGTTTACCGATTTAAAGGGTACAGTAACTGATGCTCATTTTAGTGCCTAGTGGTCGCTCCACCATGTTCGAGAATTTTCATGTCAATACACAGCTATACATGTCTTACTATATCATATAGCTTTCCGATTTCCCCATCTAAACTCCAATACAGAAACGGTCGCACAATCAAAAGCAACCTTTGCATAAGAGTAAGCACTAACTTTTTATTGTATATATTAATGTTAGTGAGTTGCCGTCTTTAATTGATGTTGTAAATTTAGTTTGGGTTTATGCGGGACATGAGTGTTGGCACAGAAAGTGTCAGGCTATGTTTATTCTTATTTAGTTTCTAGTCTGTTCTTCTAGCATCGAACCAATATGCATGCTTTATGTTTACCGTTCTATTCTTAGGAGGGAACGATGTTACACTTTTTTCCCCGTAAATATACGGCTATAGGGAAAGTTTTCAATTTTTAAATTTCAAGTAACTATATGGTATCTTCTCCTTGATACTACTCGAGTGCACAGAATGGTTCGATATGAATTATGGGTAACGATAGAACTAGCGCGGGCTACGATCAGCGAGCGGTAATATTTCAAATGATATGAGGATGTCAGCCGAGAAAACTTCGAGTAACATTGAAAACGTTCGTGATTCCAGACTAATTGTAGCCGATGGTAGTAAATGAATACCTGCCCGATTTCAGACAAAAAACCGAAAACAGTATTTTTGTAGTTGAAAAAGGAAATCATCTGGTGCTGAGGATTATGAGAGAGAGGTAGACAGCTTGGTTGGAAATCCTAAAGTGGTTGTTGTGTACTATGCGAACAGAGAAATCGTTGTGGGAAGGGGCAGTTGTAAAACACGGTGTTTGTGCTTTTTCATTTAATTAGCTACGATTACATTTTAAACTCACAAAGCTATATCTCGGTTTGCTCCTATAACCCCATTGCCGCCATCAATGCCCTTCCGTCCCACTTGCATGTCTACCAGAGCTTTAGAGCTTAAGAGCAGTTTATTTGAATCACCAATCAAAGAAACAGGTTCAGATCATTCAAATAATGAATGTTTAGAACTGATATCAACGGCCTCCAATAGAAAAATTTACATGTACAATTCGTAAGTTCGTGAACAATGTCAGCTGTTCAGGCAACGTTGTGGATTGCGACAGCTCAATTTGGCTTCTTGTTACAGTTAAGAAATAAGGTTCAAAAACTAGGTGTGTTAGAATGCCTTTTCTTGAAACATGCAAATGGTCTGGTGTTTTTTAGGGTTAAAGTTGTGGATGATTATCCTCATCGTGGTTTTGGTGCTACTTTCTGTTGTTTTGGTTGGAAACATGTGTTGCTGGTGCTTCAGCACAACGATTTGTATTGTTGTCGTCATTCGATTTATCCGTAAATGTATATGCAAGGAAAATCAGGATTCAAAGGGTAAGTACTGTACATTATTATTAGTTTTGACCAATTTCAATCAATCTTGTGAATTCACTTGTATTGTATTTATATTCTGTACAAGTTATCCACGAGTTCATCATAGTGTCACTTTCATTTAATTTCGGGTTTAATTTTCATTATTGTGAGAGATGTGATCGAAATGAATGGAGACACCTAGAAGTTTGAACTATTTACTCAAAACGCATGTGTAAACGTATATAGTAAAAAAAAACAGTAATTGAAAGAAAAATCTAGCCTCAAATTTGTAGGGTTGAGCATTGTTAGTTCTTAGTACATATGATAGTTCTGTTTTGCCTTTGAATCGTTTCCTACCACGTTGGCCAAGTAATGACTTGCATTGGTGTGTAGGGATTGTATACTAGTTTTATACAGTGTAATTAATATAGTCCTAATTTATTTACTGAGTGTTCTCTTTGCTATTGTAAGAAGTCCACACTAATGAATGCCAAGACACGGAGAGGTATGTATGGTATACTTCTTGAATATTTCTTCCGTCACCAACATGTCAGCCCTCTCTCGTACTTATTTGTTAATTATTATATAAAAAGTTCTTATATTGAAATTTCTTGGAATATTTATTAATGGAAGCTGGTAACTCTGCCTCCACTGACTTGTGAAAGTTTAAGCATAATTATTTTTCCCCGATTTTTATTTTTATTTCTTTGCTTCGCCATATTCGTGTGGGTGTTTATTCAGTCGAGGGTTTTTTAATTCATTTTCAATGCGAATGAACAGTTTTTTAAACCGTAACATTTTAAAAGCCTTACATGAGAGGTCAGTTAACGGAAAGTCCAATTTACTGAAGAGTCATTGAACATTGTAGGGATAGGGGTTATGCCTCAGTCGACCACCAGTATGCGGGTCCTAATGCCAACTATCGAGCCTTCAATCCATCTTCTTCGCCTCCAGCAATTTATGAAATTGCCAATAGGGAGTCTGAGGGAAGAAGAGGACGTGGAGCAAGTGCACCGAATGAGCCACTCCCAGAATACGCAGTGGTCGATAAAACCAAGAAGAAAAAGAGGGTAAGGTTCCGCAATGAAGGAGCCCTAGTTAACAGATCTTACGTTTTCAATGTGGCGAGATCTGAGTAAAGTCTGTTTCGTAACCTAATGATCAATAGACCTTTTTAGCTTGATACGACATAGATTGGTCGCGTGGTCTGAAATGGGTAAACAACAGTTGCAGTTACTGTAAAGCGCGACTGCCGCAATATTTCTACAAATTCGGATTTTTCTTTGCATAAATGCCCGGACGATTCTAAGCTTCAGACGTTAAGGATCCACGCTATATATCTTCAATTTCTCGTCCACGAATTGGTATTTTAATCCGCGTGAGTTAATGGTCAGAAACCCGGAAAAAAAACTAGTCACGACTCCAATTCTACGTATCATGTTTGTTTTTGGTTTCTCTTAAAACAGATTTGGACGTTGAGAATAAATTAAGATCAAAATAAAGAATTAAGAGTAACATCTAATACCAAAGTGGGCTCTGAACATTTCGAGGACGAGGATTTTAAGGACTCGGGGATTTAAAGTGGATGGGGCTTGTCAATCATGGTTTTTTATGGTCAACAAGAAGCTAATTCAAACAAAAATAGTGTTTCCAATATATTGTAAGGCACGATCGATTGTCACAGTTCGCGAAAATTCAGGCCAAAGTGAATTACTTCAAAGCGTGGGAAGAGTGAAGGTTACTGGAAATTTACATCTTTGAAGAGGGCAGGAAAAAGACCGTCATGTTAAAACGCAGACTGCAGACCGTGCAGACTGTCTTTTCATTTTTTTTCCTTTTTCCTAACTCTTATTTTCACCTTTTCCTTACTATTTTGGTAACGTTGGAATGGTGTCCATTTTTTTGACACCACCGACGTAGTTTTACGAGGTTATTTCGAGCTCAGGTTACCTAGCAACAATTCGGACGAGATCTCAGGCTCAAATTTATCGAGCATGTGGTAAGATGGAGATCGAAAAGGGTACGTTGTATTTGCATTTGCCCCCAAGTTCTGTTGAGATGAATTTTATTTTTGTCGTATACTTGTGTAAACTCTTTATTTCTGTACTGAAGATGTAATCTGTTTGGAAACCGGTGACTCTAATTTAGAGGTAAGAAATGGGCTGCGTGGACGAATGAAATAATTACTAGGATCTTCAAGTTCCGAACACGGCCAAAATAACTCTACAGTAAATAAAGTGCTGCAAGCTAAAATCGACTTTTACTCGGAGATTAGATCGTGCCCATACACTGGCACGCAATTTTTTCTGATGGGACCAGCATTGCTATAAAAATGAAACATTAATTGGTACATCTCGTGGAAGCTCCTCTAAATAAAACTTTTCAGAAAAAATCAGTGAAAAGTAGATAAACATATATACTCTTGGGTGAACCGCATCGAAGGGTTAATTAGTAAGTAACAAAAAAATTTCTCGTCTGCACGGTCTACACAGTCTACATAGTCTGCAGTCTGCAGTCTATGTTGTAACATAACAGGGAAAAAGTGACATTTCTAAGAAATATGAAGTTGTTCTTCCTGTCTAGGCTCTCCTGTGATGGTGAAACTTTCCCTTTTAAAGTTGATCATGTACATTATTCATAACAGTTGACAGATTCCTAAATTGAACATCCTTCCCTTTATGATGCAAATTGAATTTGGAATGAGCTCATTAGCCCAGCGTAAACTGGGCGTTAGACATGAAAGTTATTTCGTAAGCGCTTGGTAGTTCCTCGTCGGTATATAATAGTTGTAGTTGTATATGTTGTCTTGATTTCTTAAATTTTTTAGAAAAATTTCCGAATGCCGGTCATCTAGTTTTTTTGGAACCATGCCGGTATTCTTCGACCTCATGCAACTGGTAAGTATTTTGAGTCAGCGTAAACTGAGCTCTAGATACGAGATTTATGAACCTCATCGATATCGCTGAGCCGTTCCTCATCGACCCATAAAAGTTTGGATTGTATAGGTTGTCTCGATTTCTTATAGCTAAGTTTTTGGAAACATTTCTTACTGTTGGTCGTTTAGTTATTTGAGAACCATGACCAGCAGTTGACCCCACGCAATTTCTGTGTCAACACTTGCAATACCGGGATCCATGGCTTCGTACTCTGAGCCCTAAGTTAGACATGACGGAGCATTAGACATGAGATTTTTTAACACTTCGAGTCGCTTAGTAGTTCCTCATGGACTTAAAAGAGTTTGTATCTTTTAGGTTCTCCTAATCTGTTAAATTTTCAGAAAAATATCGGACTGTCGGTTACTCAGTCGTTTGAGAACCTTGACCGGCTGCCGACATGCTGCGCAAAACCAATCACTGCCAAACTCTGACTATGTCTGCCCAGACTGCCAACGTCATTGCCGTTCACGTATAGGCTTCATCAGCCACCGCAGAAAGCATGCCACCCTCCTCAACGGATGCTTCTGATCACCACCGCAGAAAGCATACCACCCTCCTTAACTAATGCTTCTGAGAGAAAGGAGATCTGTCGGAACGACGACTCAGACCACCGCCACCACCAAACAGAACATACCAACATATCGCGAAGCAAAATAAAACTTTACAGTTTTCTACAAAACAAAGCTTCATTCTAACCTCAAATCGAAAATTCGCCAAAAAGGTCTTTGTAATACATGTGCGTCCCTCATGCGTCCGTTTCATCATAGTTAACTACGGTTTCATGTATTTTTGCGGTCCTGAATGGTCGTCTGCTCACACGTTTGTTTTTCCAGCTTGAGTCATTTGAGTGCTGATTTATCCGAGAATATGAAAATTTCAGCGGGAGAAGAAGGAATTTCATCCATAAGATGTCGTCTGCGGCACATGCTTATGAAGCCATTCGGGTTCTTGTCTACCCATTTCAAACCACTTGAACACATAGCTGAAAAGACAGCGTTCGTTACCATGCCTACTCCAAATCATTCTTCGCCATACAAAGATGCACACCAGTCCACATTCCTCCGCTTTGCTCAGACTAAGGGCTAACTTAAGCTTTTCAAAATTTATTACGGCCGCTCATCAACCTTTGTCAACCACTAGTTCATAACCAGCTAAGTGGGGTCTGCTTGTTCGCGTGCATGCACCCACTACCAAAGATAAAAATACCAAACCACCTAGGCTTCCCACCGAGCCTCTTCCTGACGGAGACCTGTATCATTCCAAAGACTACATTTTTATAATGATTAACTATATAAATATGCATTTATTAATTTTTTTTTGGATGATCTGTTTTCCAAAGAATGCCTACAATTATCTGTTTCATTGAACTGCATCTTGTTTTTCTTTTTATCGCTGGCAGACACCTACACCTGGTGAGCTTCAGTATGCTGAACTTGGTGACCTGACGGGTCGTGGAAAGAAGGCAACACTACCACCTGTTAGTGGTACGAGTACTGTGTATGCAGAAGTTAATTAGTAGAAGACGTGTGCAGCTATGTCAATGGATCATAAGTAATCACGTGGGCGAGGCAATCGCGGAAACGGTGAAGGATTTTGTAGCTTTATGTTGAAATTTTAATTTTGGGATGTAACGGATAACAGGTATCCCATGGCACTGTTCTGTAAGTTTCTGTTACTTCAGATGGTATCAGAACTGCTGAAATATTCTACTATAAGGTAACGCATAATGCATAGTTCTAAATTTGCAGTAAAATATGGGAGAGGATTCAAATCCTGTTACATCTTACCGATTGGATGTTCCACCATATAGCTACAGAAGAGTCACAGTTGGCATTATCTTATTCAGGAAATACTAATTTCGCGTTTATTTTCGACTTGCTAATATCTGCCCTCGCGATTTACAAAACTAGTTTCGTCAATATGCGAACGCAAGCATATTCCATGTAGCAACGTACGAAGAATAGCTTTTTGATACCTGGTTCTTTCTCTTAAAATAAAGAATCAAGGGTTCGGAAACAATTAAGATTCAATTTTTCAACTTTGTAGAGTATCTGTGATCATTCCTCAAACTTATAAAACATGCAACACCTTTGATTGTGCGGGAATGTTTACAATGTTAGTGCTTAGGAGATCAAGGATAAGAAAACAAGACAACCGCCAACTTAGCGTTGTCGCTCTCAGCTTCATAATCCTCTAAATGGTTTCCTATGACGGCACACTTACATTTTTCCTGATATTCATGGTTTTCTAAGCTTGACAGTATTTCACTTTTGCCTAATTTGGAAGAGTGGAATTTTGTTCAGCAGTTTTGTATGCAAAGGGGGTTTAACTTGATTAGCGAGCTTTCAGTTTCCCCTTAATTGGCTGTTTATCCCTTAAAGAATTAGATTAGATATTCAAGCGAAACCGCTGCAGCTTAAAAGTATATTTTCCTAAAAATCACGAAATGGTGATACTTAGTGGCTAATCTATTGATTTTCGCACTATTTTGCACTCCCCACAATTTATCAAATAGATTGCTGAGCGAGTTCCTAAATTTTCAAGCAAGTACATTTTATAAAATACTGCAGTTAAATAGAAAAATTCTTAATATCAGATTCGACGTTTGAAAGGATGTGTGGCAGATCGAATGCAGTGACCTTCTTTTCATGTCTTTCTTTCTTGGTGAAAATTGGAAGAGATCTTGGATACTAGCGAGCACCTCATATGTGAAAGGTCATTTCCTTTGAATCGGAAATATGTGAAGATTTCCTCCAAGAAAAAAAAAGTTGGGGAGGTTTCGTGCAAATTTGTCTCCTGAGGTAGTTTTTTTTGTAATGTTATTCTTTCAAATGGTCTTCAAGATTTCAGTGCTATTTCTAGTGACAAGTAGCATTATTATGTATTCCTTTAAGTGGGATTTTTTTGAGTATCATTTCTCTTTATGTTACCGTGTATGAGCATAGTACCTTTGAGAAATTTGCATTTGGCATATTCTGCTTTGTGATGGCGATTTCTCTTTCGTTTTCGCCTGATTAATTATGTGAATTTTTCTTGATAAATTAAGCGTGATTTTCCTTTATTACAATTATCGAAACATTAGTAATAAGTACGTAGATTTGAGACGGTCCCCTTTTAGAGTTTATGTAACAATTAGGTGTGATTGGTTTAAGATTAAGCGGTAGTTTAGGATCGGAATCTTGTATTTGCACTTCCATGGTTTTTTTTTCTTGGTTTTGTTTGTTTTTGTTTTTGGGTTAGGTTATCTCATTTCTCAAATGTTTAAGAAATAGAAGAATTCAATAAAACGAATTCATTAAGCATCGGGCTCAAAGTACCGTTCACGAATTCAAGATGTTAGCAATGTGGCCCTTTATCGGATAAGATTCCTAACCCCATGTTCACGAGTTACAAGACATACAATCAATACTTGTGACAAATTTTCGTGGTTTGTATGACGCGGCGTTTCGTCTCGGCCAAAAGACTCATCAGATACTTTTTGTTAGGTTCCAGCGACCTTGTCGAGCACTGTGCATCATCGAACATCGGGCATACCGTAGGGGAATTAAGAAGGAATCAATTGATATTCCTAGACTTTTCTTTAACCCTTTTCTAGCAAGCCACGCATACATGGGCGTCATAACACCCACCACTGTTGTTATTTGTTTCTTGTTGAAATTGAAAGACAACATTATGTAAGTGTGTACATTTCAAGGCTGTTTGATGAGACACCCATTGCAGCCTAGAAAAGCCACAATGATTCCCGATTTCCTTTGCAGTGAACCGTTCATATAACAACAAATCCCAAAAATCCATCATTCTGCTCCAAGAGCAACACTGAAAAAGTGTCGATCTCTTAAGATAAAAACTTGCCCAAGAAATCAAAAGTTTGCATTCAAAACACACCTCAGGGCCAGATCTTGCTGTTTGGCTGGAAAATGCCTTCTCACTTTATCCGCTAGCCATTGTTCTTCCTTTTGATGAAAGCTAGTGTCCCAAACACAACCTTTGCCTCATTTATGACCGAAGAGAATTCTGGGAAATTCCACCACAACTCGATAGAGCAACACCTCACATTTCCATTCTAACAAATTATTAGAATCGTGTCGGGCCACCCAGTCCTACCAGCAAAATATTTAATCACTTTCACCAGAGTATGGTGAGGATCGCACAACAGTGCGAGGCTCCAAATTAAGTGTGCCCAATATCCCAACCATCCCACCCCAGGGGAGGACATCCATGACACAGTAATCTCGTGGGTGGGAAATTAACGTCTCCTACCCCAACCCTGCAGGAGACGGGACCTCCATTTATTCGTCCCTATCCGAGAAGACTAGAATATCTAACCATTTCTTGATGTTATAGAAAGGTAGCAAATTCTTCTCAATTATTTTAAGTCCCTGAGTGTTGGTCCGGCCGGGGCTCGAACCCTCGACCTCCCGCACAACAGTCCAGCGCTCTATCCATTGAGCTAACCGGGAGGCGGTAGTACGAAAGCCGGGTGTTAGGTTTTACGTCTTCGTTTTCGAGGGTCTTCGTTTTCGTAACACCCAGCCCAAANAGGTCTTCAAGGAGGAAAGGACGAAAGCTAGTGTCGTAAACATAACCTTTGCCTCGTTTCTGATCAAAAAGAATTCTGGGTAATTCTACCACAACTCGAGAAGGCAACCCCTCACATTTCCATTTTGGCAAGTTATTATAACTTTCTGCCCACCCAGTCCTACCAGCAAAATATCACATCGATCGAGACTTTTGCCACTCAAAACTGGCCCAAAAAGCCTTGGTAGGTCCTGGTAGCCATCCACAGATGGGCCAGAGACACGACTTCACTTGTGAACTCGCCAAGCTTGCATGAAAGCATTTTGGCGGTCCAGTCTACATGAAACCACCTCTCACCTCTGTTTTCTTTCAGAGGCTTGCCTCTACCCACATTCCAGCTTAATGATGCTGTCCTGAGGGCTTCTGTAGAGGGAAAATGGCTCGAAAAACACTTATAAACGCGAGAAAACGAATCGATTTGAACGCATCCAAACACGAGCGGGTGATCTAGGTCACGTGATCCCAAAGTCTGAACCCACGGTGTCTCAAAACCGCAAATATTGTGAGGGATACTTCATATAACGACAAACAAAGTGAGTTTAAGTCTTGTATGGCCAAATTATAAGGTTTTTTGCCAGCTGGAAAAGGGTTAATTGTAATGTTGAATCATTGGATTGGTGGTTTTTTCCATTGTCAATAGCTGTAAGTACTATAAGTGCGCAAATATAACCATATGAATGAGCAAAACTAGTGATTAAACAACAGTTGATTGTGGTCAAATCATGTGTTAATGCAATTCTAAGTATGCTACTGTTTTTACAACGCCTTTATAGGTGCTTGCACAGCACATTGAACATAATAGAGAGCTTTTCTCGATTTATTGCTTTCAATTACTGTAGAAGTGTTTTTTGATAATAGTAACTGATTTACTGTTTCTAAACGAGTTCCGTTTACCAATGATTATAAGCGTAAAAAGATGTCAAATGGGATTTATGCTTTAGAGTTGTAGTTAATTTTAAGGAAGGTTACGAAAAGTTTAGATTTCAGTAGATTTACTGCTAGATTGTAGCTACGTCAGTCATTTTTTATTATCTTCAAACTGCGTGGCATTGTACCAACTACGCAGAGCCTATGGTGTGTTACCTCGAGTAAGAAAATCGCGTTGAATGCCTATTGTTTTCAAGAAATTTACTTCCAGATAAGAGATCTCTAATATGTTTGGCGAAACGTGATCTGGAGGACTTTGATCATTCAAAGATTACGTGTGTGGTGGCCAATTTACCATTTCAACTTTGTTGATATATCCAAATTATTTCGTTACTCCCACCGACGCAGCCCCAAAGAGTTTCTTTCGAAACTATCAGCCTTTATTCATTGATATCAAATTTATTTTCTTACCTAATATTTTAATGAATTACCGGCAATTCGAAGTCTAAGGAAACATAAGCTTTTAACTAACTTTATAATATAGTTGACAGCGCGCGCGGGCAAGGTGAAGCGAATCCTGTATTCGTATTGGCCACCCGAGCAGGCAAGATAAGCTCTTCTTACTCGCTCGGGATTGTCCGCTTTGTTCCCGCGCGAGAGGAAATGTACGTGGAGCTGTGTTACAAAGTTCGTAACTGTTGGACAATGTCTGTAACTAAGTCGCCAAAGGCGGCACAAGACAGGGAGAAAAAACATTGATTAAACGACTCGTTTAGGTTTACTTTGCTACAAACACAGTTGGCTTTCTTTCCCGGCTTTCGAAATAAGAAAGTCATTTGTGATTCTCATTAAAGGGAAATCTTTTTGCTGTATGATAAATCCTTTATTGACCAAGCGTACCGTCAGGATGGCTGGATACAGGCCAAGTTCTTCTTTTGCCATCTTGACCCTACGCTTGGTCAATAACGCATACAAATGAGATCTTATAATAGTTCCCAGAAAACAAGGGATCATTTTGTTTTCCAAATTTATTTCCTCAGAGTTGAGAAGCATGAATATAATAGTTTTTTA